ATTTTGGTCTGAATCAGCAGCAAATCTCTAATTGGCCAAGACCTATTCTCCTGTAAAAGTTGACATGTACAATCTGGAAAATGTGTTCATTAGAAATGGAGAGCTATAGAAATTGTAAACTTTCTGATTATCAACCCTGAAATACTCTAAGAGTTAATGAGCCTCTTATCTTAACAACCAAAATATATTCCAGCAAGTTTTACCCATTAGATTTGGATATTGACATAGCTGTATATCCATGTAAAGGGGAAAAAATAGTCTCTAATGACTGAACTAGAAACCTCGAATACAGGAATTGGTACTCAGCTTTCTCTTTGTATATCCTTTTATCTGCACATGTGTAAGCAGGTTAAAGTAGGAAGTCGGAGGTAATTCTAATACAGGACGAGATGAATGAGAAGCTTTGGGATGGGTTGAACATGTGAAAACCAGACTAATGAGTACAATAGCCAAATATACTTGGATCAAGGCTATGAGAAAGGAACTCATCGATAGTTGCTAATGTAACAAAGAAGATAATTTTGAGATAATGACAACGAAAGGGTTAATGAAGCTGGAACATCTATGGATAGAGGCTTTCTAGTTATCTTGTTAATTTACGTAGTCCAGACAAATAAAGTTAGAAATATTATATCAAATATGAGGTCTCTTCAAAAGCTATGGGTCAGTCCTAAGTTACACAGGTACAGGTACGGGAACAGGTGTGGGTAGGGGACACGGCAATTTTGTAAGAGGTAGGGAACGGGAACACGGCTACACATACATGTATATTTAATAATAAATACATGTATATTTAATAATAAATGTATATTAGGTCAATATTATTTTTCATTTCACGTTCTATGAAATAAAATTTATATAATATTTATATGTTTCATTTAAAATATAGACATATAAATTTGAAAATTACTTGTTCTTTTTAACCTGATCCAAATGACCCTTGAAATCATAGTTTTGAACTGGGTACAAATTGAAACCAACCCAACTTATGTCCAATGAGTTTCAAGAATTGCATGTGAAGTGTAGGATATACGTCTCGAAAGTATATCTCGAGTGTTTTAAATCAATATATGTATTCTATAATTGAGTGTTTTAAATTCATATGCAAGGAGTGTCCTCTGAAGTTTCGATGTTGGGTATGGGTACAACACATGTAAGGCTCCAAATAGAAGTACCCATGCAACATAGGGTCAGCCCATTGCAGATCTGGTTACTGGTTCAAGAATTTATATCTACCACCGCTTTACAACTTTTTGTTGAAGACATTCTGATCGATGATCTTAGCAATAGATGAGTTAATAGGCCTTTTCATGTGCTTGTGCACGCCTAATCAACAATTCTAAAACATTTTGGATGCTCACATGCAGCTGTATGTAAA